TTATTTGACAGAGACACAGCGAGAGAGGGAACACAAGCAGGGGGAGTGGGAGAGGGAGAAGCAGGCTTCCTGCTGAGCAGGAAGCCCGATGTGGGGCTCGATCCCAGGACTCCAGGATCATGACCTGAGCTGAAGGCAGACGCTTAACGACTGAGCCACCCAGGCACCCCTGTACAATGGTTTAAATGTTCTTTTTTCCCCCTGTATTGCCTGGGTGTTAATTTAAGGGATTCCAGAGTATACTTGTCTTTATTAGATCAGCCTCTAAACTTAGTGCATTTTTAACATCATTTAATACTGTGCTCATCATATTTAGTGATACTGTAAATAATATCTAAGAGACATTCTTACACTTAGTTAAAATCAATTTGACAGTCAAAAACTAGGAAACAATTCATAAGCATTTTGGCTTGTCATTTGTGATCCAAGAGCTTTTCTTGAGACTTAAATAGGGAATAAAGGATAATTGCAAATGATCCTGGAAGAATTTGCAAATCATTGCACAGAATGAGATCATGTTAGGCAGTCAAATGGCAGGAGCACCCATTTATGAATCTTGGAGGTTTGCTCTCTGCTGTTTAATTTATGCTCAGAATGCACATTATAACAAAAAATAGAAAATCTATGAGGCACCTGGGTGGCTCAGTTCGTTGAGTGCCTGACTCTTGATTTTGGCTCAGGTCATAATCTCAGGGTCTTGGGATCGAGCCCCATGTAGAGCCTACTTAAAATTCTCTCTCTCCCTCTCCTCTGCCCCTCCCCCCACATTCAGCCCCCCACCCCCAACACCTGCTCGTGTGAGCTCTTGCACACAGGCACACGTGCACTCACTCTCTCTCAAAAAAAAAAAAAAGAAAAAAGAAAAAAAACAAAGAAAAGAAACAAAATCTAGGAGATGTTAGTCTGATCCACATGTCTTTGATAGAGCCTACTTGCATTCCTTTTAAGATCTTACAACCCATTCATAGCCTGTCAGTTTCTCATGTAGTATAGCAGTCTTGACCTTCTCATTTCTGTGATTGGCCAGCTAGTACTATAGATTACCACTTTAGTTCTCATATTTTTACATATCATAATTATTTATCATTGTTAGTCATTACTCTCTGATTAGAGTTGAGTTAGCTTCATTAAAATCATAAGTGAAAAACAGAATAAATTAGAAAATCCAAGAAAAAGGAAAATAATATTAAGTTGGGATCAATACTTTAAATACGTATCATAAGCTCCTTCTACATAATAAGATGGAGATGGACCACACATTTTACTCTGAGTTTCTTAGAGGCATGAGTAAACAGGCAAACACTATCAGTTCTAAGTTTCATAATGTCAAGTAGCCACAACAAAAAGAGATATATCGCAAAGGAACACTTTACTATTTTGAAGTTTTGATTCTCCTATAGGGATCTCCACACTGGTGAATCAGATTGAAACATGCAAGGCTGACAGTACTCTTTTTGCTTAAATTAGAGGAAAAATTAAAACTGAGAAACTTTGTAGGCCAAGTAGTCTTAAAAAGTGGCTAGCACAAAAACAAGACAGCCACACCTGTCCCCAATGCTGATTTAATTCCCACCACAGGCATTTGAAGGATAGAGGAATGGTAGAAAGACAAGAGCTGTCCAGTGGACAGGGAACAATGTTCCCATTATTTCCTGTTCCATTTACCCCAGTTGGAAGGAAAAAGATCCCCAGAGATAGAAGAGGTAACTTGTAAAGAAAAAAATCTCAATCTTTAAAAAATTTAAAAATAGGTCAGAAAATTGTATCCAGCTGTAAAATTAGCTTGACCAGTCTCAACAGTAACCTAATCAGCCTGGAGGCCAAAGGTATTCACATGTTCGACTCTGAAGCTGATTATCTGCATTAGGATGCATTAGGCAGTTTGTTCCCTAGATCATCATCGGTCACCCCAGAAGCCTTCAGAAGCAACTAGACAAGGACTCTTTCTTTGACATCCATATATATGATGGTCTCTAGGACAAAACAGCATGTAAAGACAATAACTGTAGCAGGAACAAATTAAAATGGTTTTCATCTTGAAGCTACTGAGAAATCAGGAGCTTTTATTATAGATATAGAGTAGAATTGGATGAAGTTAGGTCTTACCATTAAAGTAGCAACTATAATAGAATATTTGGGATCATAAGCTAATCTAATAGATAATAGACATGGCCCTTGTGAGACTTTGGTTTGAAGAGCAGAATTTTATGGAAGTCATAATGCCATAAAAAAAGACATTTCTAGGGGTGCCTGGGTGGCTCAGTTGGTTAAGCGACTGCTTTCAGCTCAGGTCATGATCCTGGAGTCCCTGGATTGAGTCCCGCATCGGGCTCCCCGCTCGGCGGGGAGTCTGCTTCTCCCTTTGACCCTCCCCCCTCTCATGTGCTCTCTCTCTCTCATTCCCTCTGTCTCAAATAAATAAATAAAATCTTAAAAAAAAAAAGAAAGACATTTCTACATTTCCAAAAAGAATTTCCTGTTTTAGCTTAGCTACTCTCCAAAACCAAAGGGAAAAAAAATCCTTGTTTTTCCTGTTGTATGTTATTTGTGATTTGTGTGTCTGCTTGATAATGTGACTAGTGTGGGGTGACCAGATTAGGTGGAGGCTGGCAGCGCTGGTAGTGAAAGAACTCACCCAAGGCAGAACAAAGGAGGTAGATGTTTATCAAATACACCACAAGGGAGAGGCGGGCAGGACAGCAAAGCAGAGACTGTCTGCCAAGAGGCAGTGGTGGGGGTTGCAGTTAAAGAGGGAAGGTGAGGAAGTATGGGAATGTATGGAATTTTCCTTTTTTTGGTATCTGTGTGTGGGTGTAAGTAACCCATAGGTCAGCTAAGGCTTATGGATATTTGGAGATGGGTTCCCTAACGGGCTGTTTGTATTCAGCATGGGGCTTGGGGGTCACCGTGCGCCCTTCTACATTACTCAGGTTTCCATTGTTCAAGTTGGTTGCCTAAAAGCAACCTCTACAACTAGGGTAAAACTTCTGGTGAAATACCTAAGCTTCACTCAGGCTGTGATGGAAAGTTGTATTTGTCTTGCATCTTAAACATCGCATTTCCTCCTCTATCTTATACATCAAAACTATTAAAAAAATTATGGACTCAGAAGGGTTTCTAGGTCATCTGTTGTCTGTTCAAAAATTTAAGCATAAATTATATAGTACCTAGGTATTTTCTCAGTCAGTGTTTCTAGAGGAGCATGCTATTCTGCAATTTTTTTCTTCTTCAAGACCTTGCTTATGGTCATTAAGAGGTGATACACTCCTTTGGTTGTGGAGAAATATAGCCTATATTTCAAGGTAGGATTGTAGTGGGAAAAGTATGGATTTTGGATTCAAATTGACTTGTTTGAATGCTGACTGTAACTCTTATTGCTGTTTGGTCTTGGCGAAATAATCTCACTAAACTTCAGGGAACTCCTTTATAGAATATAATTATATCCACCTTGCAGGATTGTTTGAGAATTAAAAGAATTAACACATGTAGAACATCCAGTGCTACTTCCTAATACTTAATCTGTACTCAATACAGTGTAGTTAATATTGGAGACATTTTTGTTTCCAAGCAGATTACAAAAATTACAAAATACTTTCATACATAACCTCATTATATCTTCAAATCACTTTTATAAAGAGGAAGAACAAGTATTTTTTTTTAAGTATTTTAAAATGAGGAACTAATGCTGAGCAGTACCATGGAAGGGATTGAGTCAGGCACAGGATTTCTGAGTACTTATTTAGTGCTCTTGTAACAGATGGAGCCCCTGGGAGGTGGGTGTGGCAAGGTAAGCTTCTCTGAAAGAGTTTGGTCACCTTTGACATTGTCTTACTTCCAGTCTAACCTTACCCTGCAGCAGAACCAGATAGCTGAGAACATTCTGAAACTACAGACCTTGCCCCCAGGGAGAGGTGTGGGGTAAGTGATAACAAGGTACAGAGTTGATCCATTAACAGTGTTATAACAGTGTCCCAGGTTATAATTAGAAAACAGATATGTCTCCAACACTGGATTTTTATGAATATTATATATAATATTTTTATAGTATTATATGTGGCAAAAAAGTAATAGGAGCAAGTATCATTAATCTTCTTTGGGTTAGTATGACTTTTATGGTGTGTATCATGTTTTGAAAAATAAGGACTAGTTTCTAAACACAGAATAGAGCTTGCTTGTTTATTTTGTTCTTAAAAGGGATGCTTTAAAAATTACAAAGTGAATGTTGCCTAACATTTTCACAGGCTTAGGGGAAAGGGTTATGCTATGGACAGATAGCATTTCAGTTAAATTCAGGCCATACAGAAATAGATTTAAGTTTGAAAACTTGCACAGAGGATTATGGTATCAAATATGACAGCTAGATTCTAGTTTGGACAATATAGGTTTAGCAGACTTTTGTTTCTTTTTCTTTAAAAGTAAATATTCAGTGAAACTACAAAAAAAAATCAGAAACCATTTTGGAGAGAAAAGATAAGATTGAATCAAAACTGGTTGAGATGATTCACTGGACATTACGTTCAACTTCAGTGAGATAATCATACAATACCTGGTAACTAGGAAATCAGGAGTTTTGTTTGCAACTTCTAAGAGAAGCTGTGGAAGCAAGGACTTTGTTAGCATGTGTGTCATTGTGTGACTTAGGAAGTGATGCCTTTTTGGTGAACAAATAAAAATGTCCTTTCTTCACAGTCCCATGTCAAGTAAGTGACTTGCTAAGCAGATCAGGGGCTGGAATTTAAATTCCACTTATGCTCCTGAAACTAATAGGGTATAGCCAGCTAAGAATAAATTGCCATCCTGGAGAGGAAGCAGAAAATTACATCTGGGGAGTGTTGAAGTGTGGTGTAGTGTAATAGTGAAGAAGCAAAAGTGCATGTAGTGTGGAAGCAAGAAAGGAAGAAACAGCAGAAGGTGAAAAGCACAATAGAGAAAAGTAGTAGGAGAATAAAATACCAATTTTGCTCATTTTGCAATTTTACCTGAGGCCATAGGAAATCCTTGTATCCTGCCAGCCTGCCTATCTCCTTTACGAAGAGGAGAGGAATGGGAAAGGGGAAAAAGAATTTTCATGCTCCACTTTCTTCTCACACTTTATTACATGTAAGATATAACACAGTATTTACGGAATTTTCCTCATTTGCAAGACATTTTGGGATGTATTTCTCTTGAAGTTAAGTGGCATTTTGGGTGTATTTTGCAAATGAAAGAGAGAAGGCACAAAGGGCTTCTGTGACTTGCCAAGGTCACCGTATTCTTTGAGACAAAACCAGGATTAGAAGTCCAGTAATAGAAATGCCACTACAAAGTTTGTCAGCGGAAGCTGAGATTTCTTTCTATAGCAACTTTTATGCCCCAATGAATTATCCTTTCTTTGTTTTTAGATTTATGTACCAATAAAAAGTATTTGTCAAAAGGAGATGCTTTTAAGCAATCAGTGTAATTGGAAGCATAAGATAGTCTGTAGAATGTGCTAACATATCTCTGTAAAAAAAAAAAGTGCTGATAAAGATGCTAGTATTAATTTTTTTTATTATTTCTTTGAAAATACTAAGATTAAAAATGCTGAGACCTGCAGTTTTGCCCTCTGGATTTATGTGGGATCCTGCTGGTTGCTTTTTAGAAGGAGAGGATGCTTGATTAGAGTTAACACTAGGAGGCTGAAAACCTGTCAGGCTTTACATAAAAAATTGGTTGCTTATGCCCACTGTTTTTGCATGGTGTCAGCATTTATTACCTTTAAGCAATTTAGAAAGCATTACTCCTTAAACTCTCTACTATTCCTAAAAAAACAAAAATAAAAATATACTTCATGTAATTTTTCCTTAAACTACTCTTTTCTTTGATCACTCTTATTCTTTGGAACGAGGATATACAACTCCTACTGAGTTAATTTTTAATCAACACAAATTCAGAGCATTCACTGAAGGAAACGTTGAAATCAGGAAAATGGAACACTAGCTGATATATTCTAGAAACAGAAAGGCGTGGGATCAAGTCTACTACAGTTTCCTTAAGCCCTTGCATCCTCCATGCTATTCTATGAACCTCCTTAACACACTCCTGTTTCAGGGCCTTTGCATTTACTGTTTACTCTTCTCACTGATGTGTGAGTCACTCCTTCAGTTTCTTTAACTCTCTACTCAAGGGACACCTTACTAGAGAGAATTTCTCTGACCATACCTTTTTTTGTTGTTAAGATTTTATTTATTTATTTGACACAAAGGCAGTACAAGTGGGCAGAGCGGCAGGCAGAGGGAGAGGGAGAAGCAGGCTTTCCGCTGAGCAGGGAGCCCGATGTGGGGCTCGATCCCAGGACCCTGGGATCATGACCTGAGCCGAAGGCAGCCACTTAACTGACTGAGCCACCCAGGCGCCCCTCTGACCATACCTTTTAAAACAACTTCCCTCCCACCTCACTATCCATCCCCTTACCTGCTAGAATCATAGGATAGGGCCAGAGGGTGGAGGGAATGGGTAAGTGTGGTGCTATTACCTGAAGTTGGAGTCACAAAAAGATTGTACTTCTGCCTGTGGTACTGCCTGAGGTGAAGAAAGAAAGAGAAATACTCTGGCTTCTCCCAGGAGTGCCTTCATTGCCTGAACCATTGTCAGAAATCAGCAGACACAGAAGCCTGGAAAATGGAGCTTGCAGAGTTTATTCCTCTGAGATACAGAGCAGAGCAGGAGAAGGTGAGGAATGAATCTAAGAATGCCTAGACCCGAGACCAGAACAGCTGCTAATAGCTATTCACTTCTGCTCTATGCCAGGTACAGAGCTAAACAGTTCACATGAATCCTCACCTAGGAGGTAAATACTAGTATTATCCCCAGTTTATAGATGAGGCTTGGAAAATTAAGTACATTGCTGAAGGCCATGAATTAAATAAAAGACCAAGTTAGAATTGAATCCCGGTTTGTCATACTCCAAAATTTTGCTTTTAGTCCTCTTGTTTTATAAATGAGGAAAAAGTAGTTTGGAGAAGAAAAGAAACTTGCAGCTGAAATGACAGGAACTCAAGTTACTCCTATTAAGTTTTTATACATATTAACAGAGCTAAAACTTTATGCTGTTACTGTAGCATTTAGAGTTCAAAGGAAGCTCCCATTCAGATGAGGGAGTGCCCTTACACCCTGAAACTATCACTGAGCAACCCTCTGTAGCCAGTGTATTCGGTAAAAGGGATTATTAATTACAGCTACCTAAGAGTGTTGAAAGAGATTAAATGGATAATACATCTATAGGCTTCCAAATAGTGTGCCATAGAGTGGGTACTTGCTAAATGCTTAGTAAATGCTAAATAGCTGTTGTCGTCGCTAATATTTTTATTATGCTGACCCTGAGTGGTTATCACAGGAAAGAGTATAGATTAGAAATTTTATGAAATGTTATCCAAGTGCTTTATTAAACTGTAATATCTTCCTGTCGGACTTTTTACTTTGCCTGTATTTAGGAGATTCATTACAAGATAGTCAAGAATGGGATTTTTTTGTTTGTTTGTTTTTAAGTGAATAGTCCTCATGATGCCTTAGTTTGTTAATTCAGGGCTTTTTTTATGTACCAGTGGTTTTCTATGAAATGTCATCTCCTCTTATTATTTCATAAGTTTCTTTCATCTAGGATGGCCTTTTTTCCAACTATTCCCAACATATGACCTTCTCCTTCCTGTACCCATGGCTTTTCTTGGCTTCCTTCTTAATAGTTTTAACCCCCAGAAATTACGTGCAGAAATTATTTTAAAACACAGGGCTCACAATGGAATGCAGACCTATTTGCACTGTTTTCAGAATTTGAGGCTTTGGACTTGATATGGTAGAGATTTGAACCACAATATAGAGGATGTAATGATGACCGTGCGACTATTTGCACGTTGTGATCTATTACTTTTGTACATGCTTCAAGGGACCATTTACAATATACTGACCTCAGAAAACTGTATAAAGTAAATGTAGAGATCCAAGGGAGGGTAGTAAAAAGTCCTCGAATGATCTCTGAGCGTTTAATCTACTCATTATTTATTCACAATTAAGAATTTTATCTGCTGACCTGTTTTGTTGTTCAATATGTGAGCAGGATATTTTTTCCATCGTGTATCAAAAGCAGTGATTGTTTTAGGTGCTACAACTGCAGAACTCTAAAAGATAAGTCAAATTAGGTCATATTGCTCAAACACAGTGAGATGTTATACTTTTAATTCTTTGTGAACTTAAAGATTGAATTTAGGATGGCCTGTGGTATTTGGAATCTAGACCTAACTACATTGGCAAGGTTTTCCTTTTTAAAAAAATTCACGTAGAAGAAGCATTCCAAACTTTTAAAAACAAATAACCTTCTCTTCACCCTCTCAACATCCTTCTCTCTCCCCACCCAACACATGCACATGTTTTGAACCAATTTAGTATTTTATTTTCTGTGATGTTCGTAGATTAAATGTAAATCTTAGTAAGTCCAAATTCTTTGAATTTGAAGGTGTTTAGACTTGAGGCCTAGCATTTGCCCAGTTCATTCCACATCTTAAAATATGGTTTTTGTCAAGGCTAGACAGTAAACAGCTATAGTACTAGGGATCCAAACCACAATTAATAGTGCTGAATGTTGTGTTACAAACCTGCCTCTTGATTTCTTAAAATAAAGAGCTGGGAGTAGCTGTGGCAACTGGACCTTAAATAATGTTACCAAAAGACATTATGTGTTTTAGTTTCTTCATCTAGTTTTTATGTGTGTTTATAAGAAGGTACCTGATGGATTGATTGCAAAGTGGACTATGCCATGTATCTGAGTATAAAGTTATAAGGAATCTGTCTCACACATAATTTCGTATAAATTACTTCAGTTATTTATTCTGTGGCTAAGATTACAATTCAGATACGTCAGTCTGAATACTGCTGTAGAACAAGTAAATGTAAAATAAATGCCAGAATTATAGCTACAGCATCAGGCAGTGACGAGTTTAGGCAATTTTAATTTTAGGGACATTGTCCCTTAGTTTTGGTATTTTTCAACAATCATACCATTTATGATTTTATTTTATTTTAGCCATGTCCTTTGGGGGCCCGAGATTTTCGAGAGAAACAATGTGCAGACTTTGACAATATGCCTTTCCGTGGAAAGTATTATAACTGGAAACCCTATACTGGAGGTAATGTATAACCAGCAGAGCATTCATCATGCTTGAGAGCTTTGCAAATATAAAAGAATATATAAATACATACAAACACACACATACCTTCATACACCTACTAGTAAAAATTAGTGTTTGCAAATCAAAGCAGGATAACGCTTATAGTACTATACAGTTTCCCTGTAATAAAGCTTATGTTAGTAAAAATGATCAGAAATCATTTATAAAAACCTAATTCTATTTAACAAGGTACAAAAGTCCAAGAAAGGATATAAACCCAAATAATACTTTTGAGTTCTTGAGACTTCCTTGGGGTATATGGACATTACATTATAATCATTTATAATCACTGAATATTTGGAATTATCACCCTAAAAACAACTTATAACAATATAAATCAACTCAAAAGTGGCCAGGAAAACCTGTATACTTTTTTGGTCAAAGGCCAAGGATCTTCCCATAGATTATTATTATTCTTTTTTAGTGTTGAGAAGCATTTTTACCCTTTAATTTGGGCATGTATCAAACACTAATTGTTCAGTAAACACCAGACGTTTTCTTGTACTCTCAAAATACAAATTTAATTTTGTTAAAATTTTCTCTTAGAGAAATTGAATGTACTTTTAAAAAACTTTTATTGTTTGTTTTTTATTCTAGTATCTTACCTTGAAAATTTTCCAACAGAGCAATACTAAAAGAATTTTACATTGACAAGATTCTATTATTCACATTATAATATACTTTGTTACATGTCTAGTCATCTCTCTATCCATTAATCCATTTATTTTCTAGATGCATGTCAAAGTAAATTGTAATCATTGCTATACTTTCCCCTAAATACTTCAGCATGTATAACATTAACCACAGTTCAATACTTATTTATTGTTTTTCAGGTTAGATTATGTACAATGCAAAGCACAATCTTAACTGTACTTTCCTTGAGTTTTGACAAATATGTACACCTGCAAAGCCCTATTAACATATAGAACATTACCATACCTCCAAAATTCTCATAGTCCTCATAGTCCTTCCCAGTCAATAGCTGCCTCTACCTATTTCTTCCAAGAGGCAACCACTGTTCTGATATTTTTTTCCTTACCATAGATTAGTTTTGCTGGTGCTAGAACTTCATATAAGTGAAATCATGTCATATTTGGCCTGTGTTTTGGGCCTAATATTTTTGAGATCCATCCACGTTATTGCATGTATGAATAGCTTATTCCTTTTTATTGCTGAGCAGCATTCCATTGTAATAACCAGTTTGTTTTCCCATTGTGCTATTGATGGCAGGCCACCTGAGTTGTTTCTAGTTTTCAGCTGTTCTGAATAAGTTGCTGTGAACATTTTTGTAGAAGTCTTTTTGTGAGCATATGTTTTCATTTCTCTTGGGTAAATACTTAGGAGTGGAATTGCTGGGCAATAGGGTAGGTGTGAGTTTAGTTTTAAAAGAAATTGCCAGATGTTTTTCCAAAATGATGTACCATACTACACTCCCACCAACAACATATGAAAGTTATGTTTTTCCACATCCTTGCCAACGTTTGGTATTTTCAGTCTTCTGCTGGTCAGTGTATAATAATGTCTCAGTGCAGTTTTAATTTGCATTTTCTGATCCTTGATTATGTTGAGCACATTTCTATGTGCTTATTGACCATTTATAAGTCTTCTTTTGTAAAATGTCTGTTCAAATCCTTTGCCTATTTTTAATTGGTTATTTATCTTTTTATTCTTGAGTGGTAGTCATTTATCAGATAAATTTTATGAATATTTTTTCACATCTTTGGGCTTTCCTTTTACTTCTTTAACGGTGTTTTGGATGAGTATAAGATTTTAATTTTAATGAATACTATTTTTTCATTTTTTTTCCTTTTATGGTTATTGTGTTCAGTGTCCTGTCTTAGAAATCTTTGCCTTTCTGAACTCAAGACGATGTTTTCTTATGTTTTTTTCTAAAAGCTGTATGGTTTTGGTCTTTACATTTGGATTTACAGTCTAAAAATAATTTGGGGTTATGGTGTGTATTTGTAGTTTGGTCTATATTTTGTTTTACTTATTTGTCAACAATAGAAATACACAATGAAATGTGCAAAATGCGCAATGAAATGAAATGGTAGCAATACTATGCTAGCACCACACTGACTGAATTATTGTAAATACGTAGTCTTGGACACAGGGTGTAAGTTCCTTCAACTTTGATCTATTTTTCAAGAGTCCTTTGGATATTCTAATTGCTTTGCACTTCTATGTAAATTTTAGAATTGCTATTAATTACTGCAGAAAAACATGCTGGGCTTATGATTGCTATCATGTTGAATTTATAGATCAATTGAAGGGGAACTGATAAATTAACAATATTATTTTAACACTGAATATTGAATTCGATACTGAATTTATGAACATAATATATATATATATATATATACCCATTTATTTATGTTTTCTTTAATTTCTCTTAGCTATGTTTTGTAGTTTTAGGTGTTAGGTCTTGCACTTCTTTTGTTAAATCTATTCCTGAGTAATTTTTTTTGAAACTATTGTAAATAAAGGTTTAAAATATATCATTTTCAATTGCTTGCTCTAGTATCCGAAAATACATAGATTTTTGTGTATTAAATTTGTATTCTGTGATCTTCCTAAATTTCCTTAGTTGTTCTCTTAGAACAACTATTAGTCCTAATAGTTGTTTTGTAGATTGCTTAGGATTTTCTTGGTAAATAGTCATGTTATCTGAAAGTAGAGACTGTATCAATTGTTATGCCTTTTAATTCACGTTCTTGCCTTAATGCACTGGATTGGCTCTTCAGTACAATTTGTACATGTATGATTATATGTATTTTTCTTTATTATGTCAAACCAACCTTTTATTCCTAGGCTAAACCCCATGTGGCAATGATTTTTTCTCTTTTTATATGTTGTTAGATTTAATTTCTAATATTTTATTAAGGATGTTTTCATCTATTTTTTAAGGAATTCTGATTCACAAATTTTTTTTCCTGTCATGTTTTTGACAAGTTTGGGTACTAGTGTTACTCTGGCTTCCAGAAATAGAATCCCTGTTTATTTTGAATGAGATTGTAGGATTGGTATTATTTCCTCTTTAGAATAGATTTCACTACTAAAACCACTCAGGCTTAATATTTTCTTTGTGAAAAAAAAATTATTACAAATTCAACTCTTTTAGTAGGTAAAGGGCTATTCAGATTTTTAAACAATTCTTATGTCTTCAAGAAACTTATGTTACTCCCATATCTCATTTCTTGACAGAAAATTGATCATAACATTCTCTTACTGTCCTGTTTAATATCTGTAGGCTCTGTAGTGATGTATGCTCTTTCATTTCTGATATTGATAATATGTGTTTTCTCTCTTTTTCTTGATCAGTCTTGCTTGAGGTTTATTAATTTTATTAATCTTTTCAAATAATCAGCTTTTGGCTTTAGTACTTTATTACTTTTTTCTCTTTTATTAATTTTTGCTCTTATATTTATTATTTTTAGATTTGGGGTTCATTTTGCTTTTCTGCATTACCAAACTTGATTTTTTAAAAAATTTCCCTTAGTTCGGGCGCCTGGGTGGCTCAGTTGGTTGGGCGGCTGCCTTCGGCTCAGGTCATGATCCTGGAGTCCCTGGATCGAGTCCCGCATC